ATGAACTCTTTAGGTAACATCGAACTACTTCCAATTAATCTGTCAACTTCATACGCTTCAGCTCAAACAATTGAACAGTGAAACATTTAATCTGAAAAATTCCCAGTGCGTCATTTCCAGTCAGTCTGGCAATTAAATATGTTCTACTTATATACATGTGCAAGTTACGCCATGCCTGGAGGTTTCCGTGAATGACTCATGCATTCTTCTCATAACAGGGAGTGGTTTTGTAAAGAGCAATAACAATTCAGAATGAGATTGAATCTCAATTTAATATCCTATTTGGTTTAAAAGCAGGAATTGCCTCAGACAGTAACAAAACAAACTTAAATATTTGGGTTTTCTCTTCACTGATGTAATGCAGGCGTGGTTCTAAGAGAGAGAGAGAGGGAGGGGGCTGGGGGGTAGCCCCCAAACTTTTGTCATGCCCCCCAGACAAAAAAAATCCATAAAATAATAAGCAAATGTTAGAAGTTGACGAAACATGTGAACGTCCCCCCCCCCCCCCCCCGAAGAATAGCCGTGAAATTGGACATTTGTGCATTATCAGGTAATATAGTGTGCATGATTGTAGGATTTTATCAGCGCTCCCCATAGAAATATGGAACGAGCCCCCACCCCCATTGATATTCAGCACTGTGCCTCCCGTAGAAATGTCTGGATGAACCCCTGCTAGCCCCCTAAAATATATAGGCTGTATACTCTCAAAACGCTGGTTAAAACTTTGTTGGTTAAAAAGGTTGGTTAAAATTTTAACCAACGTTGTGTGAAATTGTCCAATTTTGCCCAACGTTTGCCCAACGTTGGGAACATTTTGCCCAACGAGGGTTATTTTTTTTAACCAACCGTTGGGCTGCTCACATGTTAAGCAACATTTGGTTAAAAGTAGTCTTTTTACCCAATCCTGGTTAAATTACCCGATTTTGACCATCGTTGGGTAAAAGGACTACTTTTAACCAAATGTTGCTTAACAGGTGAACAGCCCAACGGTTGGTTAAATTTTTTTTACCAACATTGGGCAAAATGTGCCCAACGTTGGACGAACGTTGGGCAAAATTTGACAATTTTACTCAACGTTGGTTACAATTTTAACCAACCAAATTTTAACCAGCTATTTTTCTATAGAACCGCGCCGGGTGTAATGTATAATAAACACATTCAACCTCGTTCCCATGGTGTCAAGCAAGTAGACTCCCACCACTTCCTTCTCTCGATCAACCTGGTATTAGATCATTTTCGTATCCAAAATGTTTGGATACGTGAGGAAAATGTACGTGATCAAGTTTGTAAGAAAAACGCCCAAAGTCAAAACTAATCGATGCAAATTTACATCAGCCTTTTACAAAACATACTTTAAAATTACTTTTCGACATTTCTGAGAAGACGTTTGCTAGGCCACCCTTCATCTAAATTCATGAAATTTAAGTCAATTGGGAAAACCCACCATAACCCAGATTTACTTTTGTTTAATCATTGACTAGTTTAGTGTCTATGTCAGGAATTTGAGGTGACATACCAAAGCTATTTGCGATAACCTCAGGACCAACCTTCTAAACATATAAACTTGACATAAACAGCCTACGCATTTAAAATATTTGTTGTCCGGAATAAACAAACTTCACGTCCGTTTTTGTGTGTTTCTTTTAAACATCTCTTCATAAACGACTTTTCAGCTGTAATATTATAAAAGTTCTGTGGGGTTTTTTTTGTACAGTATTACGTAGGTGCTATAAAACGTTCGTTCTCACTCAATCCATTCATCTTTCATTTGATATTTCAGGCAGAATTTTTCAGAAATATATCCGTGATCTAACTATTTTCATATATTCTACAATTCTCAACGCTGAATACTGTCCAACAACTACCCAGGGTTAATATTTGTGACCTAATTTGGCAAGTCTAACATATTTGCGAAAGCGGAACTCTGAGAAAAAATTGAATGAATGAGACAGGAGTTTTGACTTGCATTTCAACCCCCCAAAAGTTATTTCATTGTCCGAGTGGAATTTCCCTTAATTTTATGCCTAAGGAACTTGAAAAACTTGCTTTCATCATTCTGCTGTTATTTCATCAGGTTTTAAAGATGTACTGTATAGCTCATGCTTTTCAACAAACTTGTTTTTTAATTTACTCAATGAATGTTCAACTTGTCCTTCTTAATTTATTATTTATTTATTAAACTATGACTTCAATGAACCAAAAATAATTGCAAATTCTAGAAGGGATGAACTTTCAGGCTCTATTCGTAACTTGTGAAATTTTCCTTAAGTAAGCGTGGTTCGATTTTTTTTTTTTTTTTTGGCAAAGTAGCTTTACAAACTTCATCGAATTTGTTTCCAAAGGAAAAAGAAAATAAGATGTGAAGACCTGAATGTTATATCAATTGTATGTCAGCTGCAGATTAATTTGGATCTGCTTCTTTCTTAACAAATTTAAGTGCAATTATTATTATGGATTTGGGTTTAATAATAGGGAGTTTTTTGGTCTTTCTTTCAGGCCTTGTATTGTGCATTGCAAGAAATGGAGCTGAAAATGTTTAGAAATTACTCTGAATTAGCATGATTTTTTTCCTGCTTCCGTTTAGTAAGTGGAAATGCAAACAGTCGTAAATATTGACATAAGGATCAGTCCTCTTTCGCATTTCTTGGTGAATACGAGTGATATCTTTTCCATTATTTTATTGTGTCGCTAACCAACCAGGGTTTCTTCGAATTGGCCAGGAAATCGAAACGACAGAGCTTCCTGCCTTGGATAGCCTAGCTGGGATCATTCTTAGGAAAGGACAACATGTATAATCTTTGTTTAATATTATCTGCAAATAAAAAAAGAAATGTTTGCACAATCATAGACTTATAGATAGGGGTGAAAATGGCAAAGATTTTCCTATAATCAGGATACAAAAATAGTTTTTGAAATATGGCATTTGTGAGATTGTTAAGGCCTTGCTACTTGTACCTGTATAGTACTTTAATAAAGAGATGCATTAAGACAAATACAGACTTTAACATAATATTTTATATTGCTCTAGGGCGCTCAGCGGCCCCTAAACCCTCTGTCAAATAATTTTTGGATTTTCTATTTCCCCGAAATGTCACCCCTGACAAGAGTCATTTCGAGTGGATATTTTCAAACGTTCTTTTAATTTCAATTGGGATTGAATTACCTTTTGTCGGATACTTGAAAAGAAAGCACTGTTTTGTATAATAGTAGACCATACGTGATTTGCATAATGATTGTTAATTTGTATTTTGTCCTTTATTTGTCCGTTTTGTTTATGAAAAAAAGACAATATTCCTCTTTGCTGCCGACAAGTGCATCTTTCAAATTTTTCAAACATACGACTACTTGCTTGCATTTTTTGCAATAATTCAAATTGTATATGGTTTAAAAATTCAATTATCTTACTTGTTTTCCAATTAAGGAATGGGTAAATGGACAGTTATTTAAGATCTAAGTATTTCCTTTTTTAAAAGGCAATTCAAAGTTGACATCTTCAGAGAACTTGTTTCAACGAATGTTTTTAATGCGACTTTTAATTATTTGTTTTCCTCACTTTGCCGGAAATGCATTCGCCCACTGTTTCTGGTAATCCTTTCTTGTGCGCGTCATTTAGAAATTTATTTTCTTAATCCTTGTTCTCTTACGTAATCTCTATAGACCCCTGACATGCGAGAGGAATTACCCTCGCATCTGCTGGGATGGCATTGGTTGCTATATACGCTGTGCTTCGAGTAAAACCGGATATTATTTTCCATAGTTTTCCAACTAACAAAGTCCCGATTGCCTGAATGAGGTATTGCCCCCCCCCCGTATTTATTATTTGGATCCAAACAGGATGGGCAGTTACAGTGGGGGGGGGGGGGGGGCGGTTCGGGAGCTCGAATAGGGTCGGTCGGAATGAGAACCAAAGAAATGAAAAGGGATGCCACTGAGGGGGAAAAACCGGAAATTATTGAAGAGCACAGAGTACATCTTTAAATTTTCACCGACGTGTTTCCGGGTAACCTTCACCTGCCATTATGAAATGCAGGTGTAAAGGCGAGATAATGAAAATGCTGTTTGCACACTCCCCCCCCCCCCTCCCTTGTGGTTTTATTACTACAGGCAGAATAAAAGAAATAACAAGATGCTATATATAGAGCCTATTATGCGCAAAGTTCCATCCATTATTTCGACACAACTGATCGATGTCTTGTTTGGCACGATATGGGGTCCATTTCCGAGAGATTACAACGCATCCAGGGTTAATTGGGAAATACCTACATTTGAAATACCGGGTTTGGAATTCCCGCGATTAGGAAATAAAGGTCCAATGTGCAACCGGGAAGATAATTAATTATATGGTGTTTTTGTTGAATATGAGTTCTATACATGTACTTATGAATCATCAGTGATAAAACTGATATAATATTATCGACACCGAATATTGCTGCATAACTTGTACGAAATGATGTAGACATGAATTATATGTCGAAACCTATTGCTGCGTATAATTATACGGTACAAAAATACAACAGGTTCCTGGGGTAAATTGAATTAAATGTAACGCATTACCCCACCAGCTTACAAAAAGTACAAGCGCCTCAAAAAAAAAAAAAAATTAGAAAACACGTTTTATTTTCAACATGTTTCTGTTTCTAAACTGAAAGCTCTCTTTGATATTAAATAACAAAATTGAATAAGAAACAGGAAATCCGAACAAATATTGATATATTTACTGGCATTTAGGCCCTACATCTACTCTAATTGCAACCGAAACAGGACGTGCAGCCAAAATTACACTACCGACGTTTCAGTGGAGAAGTCCCCTGAAATTTGCCAGAACTTCCCCTAAAATTGTGTTGCAATCACTTTGATTGCAACATCACGACGGCATCGGGTATTCCCCACAGATTGTATTACGCATAGTCTGGCTCCCTGACCTGATGATTCCCCTACGACTCCTCATGACATTATTGAATACAATTCGCGCAACCATACCAGCATTGCCATGTGTGTGTTCGTAAGTTGAAGTATCCCGGGTCACGAAGGAAATTGCTGCAAATCTAACATTTCGGCTGTTATCTTATTATTTCCAGTAAAAGTAAATCGTTTTTTTTCTTCTTTTTGGTCTGCTTTTTATGGAGAGCGGATATGCGAAGGGTACCATTAAAATCAAAGAGCAGACTGCACTTGCCTGTATACCATGCATGACCACATAGTCAGTGGAACCATGAATGAATCTACATGTAACTGCATTGGAGGGAGCATGGATGGAGTACTCCGTCGCAAGGGGATTAGCATGCTCGAGTTGCCAGATGGCAAATTAATATGGCACCCTGCAGGCCTCACCAGTCTGAGTTTGCAATCTTGCGGAAATACTGACGTGGTCGCGGTAGGGGATGCAGAGTCTCGTCAACATGCACAGCATGCACGGATACTCGTGGGATTTCAATCGCCAAAATCTTGCAACATGGAATTAAAATCAACCAAGCTGGAATTAAAAGCGGTTGACTTTCCTGCTCGGCTGCTGTCGTTGACACCGAAACGTCAAGTCGGTAAGTCTGCCCTTCGATCAAAAATAGTGAGGCATAAGTCGTGCACGTGGACGTTTAATGCCATTTTATTTACTAGGCCTATTTTTTTGGTACTGAAAATAATGACATCCAATATTGGGTTTGTCCTTCGCCGACGCAGAAAATGAAACAAAAATATTGCATGAACCTTCCTACTTATATGCTGAACATGAACAATAATAATGCCGTCCGCCGGTGACGTGATTCTGATTGGTCTGTTGTTATTTATTCATGCATGCACCACGCGTGCGCAGTGTACATGCCTTTATCATAAATTGCGTTTCCGCAAACAGATAGTGCTCATTTTGAGAGCCATTTTCCAATGCAGAAATACTTTTCAGAGACCGCAACAAGTAAATTTCCAAGCTTTCGAGAGATTATCCATCTGCACTGAATGCCCTGGGTAAGCTTAATTAGCGGCGTTTTGTTTTTGTCACGTGCTCATTCTATAAAATTGATAAAAATGAACACGACTGTATGTACCGAATGTGTATGTAGCACGATCGAGCTCCGACCATTATCATCATACCGCAGGTATCATGGAATAACGTAGTGCGTCTGTGTCCCATATGCGATGTGGCCAGGAGGTAAAATGATAGACAATACCACACTTTTGTTGCCTGCATGGAGCGACCAATCAGGATTGGGAATTCAAGTTTGTTTGCATACGTAAGTTGATGAATATTTATAAGCTATCCACCCAAAACTCTCTGCATTACTGTGCATAAGCGATAGACAATTAAAGCCCTTTTCATAGTTAAAGACGCCCAAAACAAGAACAGAGAGATTTGTTTAATTACAATAATACAATACGAATAAAAAAATTGTTGAGAAACATCATTCCCTTTTTTTAAGCATGGGGTATGCAATACTATGCAACTTTGAAGTACACCGTACTTTGCGGCGTGCTATGATGCACCTAGCTTTAGATGAACGGACATGTATACGCTTAGGATAAAGTATGCCGGCGGATTCTGTCAGCGTAATAATTAATTGTAGGAGTTTAGCCAAAAGGACTAGAGTCTTTTTTCACGTATGCTTACCGTCAGCGAAGAATCGCCGCTAATCATAGCGAAAATTACCCACTTACAGTAAGAGTATTAAACGGGTTAGAGAGGACATTTTGCTTGTGTGCATGCATGTGTAGGCATAAGGCAACTGAGGATTCTGTGTTTTCAATGATTGTTAGCCCCGATTTTTAATAGCGCTTTCAGCTCAGCAGGAGCGGCGACTTTTTGTCAACATTAGTAGAGGACAGGTAACAGCAGCCTGATAAAGTCGAGAGGGGGGGGGGTGGACATCATGTGACTCTAGGAGGCGTGGTTCAAACATGTATGTTGCATCATGGTTGCATGAACAGCATCTGCGCCGTTGCACCCATTCCCCAACCCAAACATTTTAATCTTGTTTAGCATGTTATTTGACACTCATTAACCGTAAAGGGGCCGGGCGGCCCCCTCAAATTTTTCCACGATAGCCTTTAACAAAATTCTTATCGCGACCCAAGTTTTTTGACTTTTTAGCCTCGAGCCTTGCGCATCTTTTGATACCAAAGACATGGAATTTGGACCACGGGTAGCCGCGCAGCGAAACATTTTCCGGCGCTCCGGCGATGTAAAAACTGAATTTCCCCATACGTACTAAACACAAAGCAAAGTTACCATTCGTGCATATGAATAATTTATTAGTCAGAATGCCAAAACCCTTTGACCTATAGTCATGAAATATCTTGGGTATGTTCATGAATAGTCTGTTGTTTTATGCATGTACCGAGTTTCATAATTTTTCGTCACTGGATGGCTGAGATCTTTGGAAAGAAATCGGAATCCGCCCCCCCCCCCCCTTCTGGCTGAGAGATGGTCAAAATACCCCGTCCCTTTTATTAGGTTTATACAGTATTACGTCAACACTTTTAAACCGTTAATTATCATAACATTATAGGCCTACACGTAGTGCAAAAGAGAATCGTTTGCTTTATGTGGGCATCATGTGATCACAGTTTTGTAAACAAATTAATGTGACAAGGTATATAGTGTACTGTTGAATTTTACGGCAGACAAGCAGTATCTGTTATAGCTATTGCATGTTGTTTCTCAAATCTACACGCACTTCCTCTATTAATTATTGAGGTGGGGGACATCGACATTGCCGTCGCCGACCCGAAACCCTCTGGCCCTCGGATACAGTATCTCACTATGAAACCATGTAGTGTAGGGTGATGACAAAAAGATGTGATGCGGAAAGGAAACAAAAGTGGAATGTTAAACTGGTATCGGGCGGGATGAGGTTTTGATGTTTATAATTTCCGTTTATTGAAGACTATGCTCGGCCCCCAGAAACTAAGGGGCCATAAACATTTTCGATTTTTTTTAAATTTTGAATTTTTTTTCAAAAAAAAAAAGGGGTGGGTGGGTGGGTCGGTCAATTTAATTTATTGAAATTATTGTTAATCGAATTTTTTTTTTTTTTTTAATTAAAAAGATAGAAAAATAGAAAATAAAAGCTCTTTTGACTTGCCAATTCAACTCTCTGCGTTCCGATTCGTCCTTTTGCCCGTACCGTATACTGTACGGGTAGGCCTACATCATGCATCCGGTAGTACCTCATATGTACAATGTACTGTGTATACGTCCATATCGGTGCAAACGGAGCAGGATACCAGGTTCATTTGCCTTAATACACGCCACGAGCGTCGGTTACCAATCGCGACAACGAAATACGTGACAACATTGCGTGTATTTTTTATCTGCGTGCAATGAACATGGCAGCACCCACGGTCTGGAAAGCAGGAGTTGAGAGTTCAATATTTTCTATCCAAAGCGATTTAAATTTCTGAATAAACTTCATGAATAACACCTCTTTACTCCAAGACAATAGTTAATTTTTATTAGAGCGAGCTAATACATATTATCGGCATGGAGCTCATTTTTAATTTATAGCTCTATGTTATCACCGTTTAGAAATGGACTAGTTTTCGTGTTTCCATGCAGGTGCAATCCTACGGGAATATGCTAGTGGGCCGTGTTGTTGGTAAGGTACCGTACACGGACTGCAGTTGAATTCCGCCGTCACTGAACTGGACATTTGTTATTTTTTATTTTTTATTGAATTGAACATCAACATTTTTAGAGCGAAAACTTTGAATGGCCCCTAAGAGTAAGACCAACAACTTGTTTTTATTCGGATCTGATCAAGTTGAAACTTGGTACATATGTATACATGTATAGAGTTTAAAAGGAGATTTTGTGAATGCTGCCAGGCTAATGAAGCCATCGCTCCAAACATTTCGAACTTTGGAATTGGGGTGAGGAATGTTTTAAAGTTCAGCCATTTGCTTCAACCTATTTTTCTGAAGATCTGCAATCATTTCAAGTCGTTCTTGTTATACGTTTATGGAAGTTGTCTCTGGGATTCGAGCTCAGAACCCTCAGAATTCCAAACGCATATCACTCCTATTGAGCTACCGAAGAGTTTCAATCGGTCCTGAAATTTCAAACATCATGTAGATTTACAATGTCATGTTAAATATTCCGTAATATAAACCGTTGAAAAGGTCATTTGTTTCATTGATCATAGTCAGTTTTTACAAACATTTGTCTAGACCAGGAAAAGTTTATATTTTTTTAATAGATTTTTAATTATTGTCCGAAGATATAAAATAAAAAATGAATTATGGTTCTGTAAAAAAAAAGTAACCACACGGGGTCTATTTTACTGTATGTAAACTATTAATAGATTTTTCATATCGCAGTGTACATTATGTACATTAAGTCCGTGGACCATATTGCACAATCTCAGTACTGCCTGTGATGATTGAGCAGGAAGTATGGACACAAATTGAATTTTTCAGCAACACGTTTAATCAGCATCGAAAATTATGCTAAAACTAAAACATACAACCTCAGAGGGCGCTGTTCAACAACACTTTATTCACCCTCTTTTTTTAGAAAAGTGGTAACACATAGACATGGAAAAATCTGCCAGTAAATGATTTGATTGAAAGGTTGCAAATTATAACCTTTTGGTTTGTGTTAACTGAGTCCGTTTAAACATCTAAGATAATTTAGATGTCATTGAGAACTGAAGGTTGAGTGATGCAAGTTAGAAATAGTAAAATAAAAATAAAAAATTACAAAAAAGAATAACAAGTCTTCCTTTGAGTGTCCGATTTCATCTATTTTTTTCTTTTTCTTTCCTTTTGTTTTTGAAAACAAGCGAGAATTTTTGACTTGTTTGTTACTCTCCTTTTTTTAACTATGAAACTTTAGAAACTTTGAAAGGTTTACCTATGTCTGTAATTGAATGAGAGTGTGATTTGGTTTATTGTTGTATCTGGAAATTTTGAGGCAAAAGCAAATAAATGCTGTCTGCACGGGGTTCACTGAACACAGTACTGGAATCGCACTGGAGGCTTCCAAACTCGTGTGGATTGACAAAGACAGGACCTCAGTTTATAAGTATCCTCAATAACTGCTCGAGGTTTGACGAGAAAGAGGATCTTGGGGCGGCTATTGATTAGTGGCTAAATGTATGTCGTCTGTGTGATCATCACCGTGTTTATCTTCGCTGGGGGATAGGTTTGTTGAGGAATGTGGAGTTGCTCTGTACTGGCGAAGGAATTCATTTAACTGTTCCAGTTTACACCTGCAGATTCTGAGATGTGTATGACCTCTCCAAGTGTTCTGTTGAGTCCTTCTACTTCTTCGTTAGCTCTTGGTAGACTCGGCGATGGGTACAGCCAGGATATGATGCGAATTTTGCAAATGCATGTCCATGAAATGGAGGACCATTATGGTCTGTCTTGACTGTCAGGTATCCCTTGCCTTGCAAAGATTGCATCCAGCTGATTGCACATCCGGAACTGATCCCGTTGGCTATTTTAATGTTGAGGGTTGAAGTATTTTGTCAGTAGCTCGGTTGCTGATTTGTAATCGCCTCAGACATCATTGAGTGTTCAAAGACTTCATCAACATCTGTACCCG